AAAACTTTAAAATACGGACTACTCCCCTACAATTTTTGACTGTTAGTTCTTCCTTTCTCTCCAGCGCCAATTTTTTACATTTTTGTTGCATCCCACAGAGGACAACCAAGTCGCCTGCATCAACAAGGACTCCTCCCTTGCTCAGCAGACTGACATCCCTTGTGAAAATCATCCAGATGATGGAAAAGAAGGATGTCCCTGATTCCAGATCCACCAGGCCAAAGTGTCAAAATGAACTGGTCTGATCAGGGGCTTGACTGACTATTATATTGTAGAGGTCTGAAGTGAAACTAGGCAAATGGGACTGAATGGAAAGTGACTGGCTTGCTGCTTAGAATTCCATGCAAAAGCAGAGAATTGGAAAACTGGACCGGACAGCTTGAACCTGAGATTGGAGAGTTTGAAATTTCTCCTTTAGAAAAAAACTCTGGCCCGAACCATGTCCAGGACTAGACCCAGATACTTAAATTTTTAGATCAGTTCCAGCAACAACTTTTGAAGAGTCAAGATTCGTACAAACCACTGTAATCTCTGTAAAGTCAAAAACATGCTGTCCAATGTTCCCTCAACAGGAGGTAATCTAAGTATCCCAAAATGGGGATGCCAAAAGATATAAAAGCAGCAAGGTTTCCTCACATAGTCTAGAAAGCGGGGGAGCACCTTGATGCAGAGCAAAGCTCGTCTGGGGATTTTGGAGATCCTAAGCCCCTGACCTTGCATGTAAACTAGGAGCCAAACATAGTGGAAGAGGGGGGAGGAATCAACATGGAAGCTGCAGAAGTGGAGAAACAAAAAGGGTTGTTTAACAGGTAAAATGGAAGAAGAATTTGCAGTATGCCTTTAGGCTTCTTTGAGGGAGAAGGGTGCTCTTGCACTTGTACCATCCTTGATAATGGTATCAAAAGGTGGGACCAAAAAAGAGACTATATTACCATTGAGATCAGATGCTTATTGGACATGGGGTCCACAATCCAGCACTTTAACCAGTGTCCAAAACCTCAAATGGGCACAAGAGTAATAAGAGAATGGGAAGCACAAACTGGTTGTCAGGGTGTTTCCAATCTCTGTAGAAAAAGAGTTAACAGAAGGTGCAAAGGGAGAGTGTTGAATGGAAAAAAAAGCAAACAACACTAGTGGATGCAATAGACTGATCCTCTAGTTTCAGAGTGTGTACACAGCATCGATATGAGCCAAAAAGGTCTCCTAATTTGGGAGTTATAGCAGAAGACTGCGACTCGTTGGGGAAGGCTCATCATGCACACAGAATCAGAGCCTCAGCAGCTTAGCAAATGACTGGGCAATTTGGGCCATAGAGTCTTGCCTGACCATAGCTAAAGCATTAGCCTATATATATATATATATATATATATATATATATATATATATATATATATATATATATATATATACATATATACATATATATATATATATATACACACATATACATATACACATATATACACACACACACACACACACACACACACAGTCAGGTCCATAAATATTGGGACATTGACACAATTCTAAAATTTTTGGCTCTATACACCACCACAATGGATTTGAAATGAAACGAACAAGATGTGCTTTAACTGCAGACTGTCAGCTTTAAATTGAGGGTATTTACATCTAAATCAGGTGAAAGTTTGATTTATGATTATTATTCTGTCCCATTACTTTTTGGACCTTAACAAGTGGGAGGCACATATGCAAACTGTTGTAATTCCTACACCATTCACCTGATTTGGATGTAAATACCCTCAAATTAAAGCTGACAGTCTGCAGTTAAAGCACATCTTGTTCGTTTCATTTCAAATCCATTGTGGTGGTGTATAGAGCCAAAAATTATAGAATTGTGTTGATGTCCCAATATTTATGGACCTGACTGTATATAAATAAAAATATAAAAGGGCAGGGGAACCTGTCACACCCAACAGAGCTAAAGGTCTCCAATGTCTGGAAATATTCTAGGAGCAGAGGACATCAGGACTGCAAGCTGCAGACGTTTGCATCATTAGGATACGGCACTGCAAGCAGCCTCTGAGCCGTTCGTACAGTGTAAGCTGGTGGACCAGTTATGGCAGGATCGCCCCATCCGCCTATATACAGAATCAGAAATGTTGTGACTGCATGGCAGGAAGGCAACAGGGTTCAAGCCAAAGCCTTGGGTGCTAATGAAACCCAGACATCTGGTAGCAGGTAAGGATCAGAGATCTGGAGGTGACCAAAGTTATGGTCGCAGGAACAGATCAAAGTTCCACATGTCTCTTTGCAAGCAGGAGCAGCAGAGGGGAGATATGTTTCTTCAATGCTGTACAGCAAGAAAGTTCACGGAGCAGATGACATTAGTGCACCTTCCCCCAGCATAAGCCCAACCAGCTTACTCAGAAAGCACTGTTGTGCTAATCTGAAGGCCACACGAAGTTTGGAGATCTTTAACTATTGACTCCAAAACGTTGGCAACTTCTGTGCACTGTGTGCTTCAGCATGCGTTGACCCTGCTCTGTCATTTTACGTGGCCTTGCTCTTGTTCCCAGTTGCTTCCACTTTTTTATAATACCACTAACATTTGACCGTGGAATAGTTAGAAGCAAGGAAATTTCACGGATGGACTTGTTGCACAGGTGGCAATCATGCTACCACGCTTGAATTCACTGAGCTTCTGAGAGCGACCCATTCCTTCATAAGTGTTTGTAGAAGCAGACTGCATGCCTAGGTGCTTAATTTTATACACCTGAATCCAATGATTTGGAAGGGTATCCAAATATTTTTGGCTATATACAGTATCTCCCAGAAGTGAGTACACCCCTCACATTTCTGAGCACTGAAAGTCATGGAGGAGTGGAAGAGGACTCCAGTGGCAGCCTGTTAAGCTCTGGTGAACTCCATGCCCAAGAGGATTAAGGTAGTGCTGGAAAATAATGGTGGCCACACAAAATATTGACACATTTGGGCATTTTCACTTAGGGGTGTACTCACTTTTGTTGGAACTGGTCTTGCACTCAGATAAATCGGCGGATTAGGTAATCTCTTTACTTTCTGAGCCCCTAGAGAAAAATGAGCATCTAACCCATGCAGTGTGGGCACAGCCCCACCGCATGGGAAAATAAAAAACTGCCCGGATTTTTTAAGCATTTTTATGGACAAAAATGCAGATTTTTACATGTGTGCAAAAAAATGAAAAAAAAAAAAAAAAAAAAAGCTCTAGAGCATAAGTGGTTAATTTTTAAAGTAGAACTATAGGCAAAATTGTTTTCCCCATTTTGGATAGAGCAAGGGAGGGTCACAACCCGTCAAGAGTTTTTTTTTTTCGCCATCTCTGTCCTATTCCAGAAATTTCCCTTCACTTCCTGTCCCATAGCAAAAAAGGAGGTGAGAGGAAATCTCTGAAAATTAAGAGAACTCCTTGGGGACCCCCATTTTACCAGAATTAGAATCCCCATTGGAAGATTTCTAGGGATGCACCAATATATTGGACGAAAATAGTGTTATCAGCATTTTTCCATTAGTAAGAAAGGTGCAGATAATGGTACCGATATATGCAAAGTCACGTCCTATAGACTAATGCAAAAATGCAAGCCACGTTAATTTTTTTTAAAATTTTAAACAGTTTAGGTTTTCGGCCAAGTGTGTCATGAATTTTGCTTCGGCACCACAATTTTCATTTGGAGCACCACTAAAGATTATTCCTCTGTTACTTTTCTGTGGACAACCCAAAATTTTCTTTTACTTTCACCTTCAACGATAATACGATAATGGTAATAGGACAAAGAGGATGAATCTCCTTAACGGGGGGGCCACAGACAGAAATAACCTGACAGGAGTTTTAATCCCTCTGCACTCTGTTCAAAACAAAAAAAAAAAAAAAAGTTTTGCCTTTAGTTATACTTGAATATTTAAAGCAAACTCATTCTACCACCCATCCATGTCTCCAAACTTTATTTTGTTGAGAAATCACTTTGAAAATCACCCCCTAGCATTTCTAGTCATGTCCATCTTGACTAAGGGCAGATAATTCATATAGCAGTTACTTCCAGGAATCCATTTGTCCTTAGCTCAAAGGGTGGTGTGCTTAGCCAAAAAAACCCTCCTTCAGATGAAGGGGAAAAAAAAAAAAAAAAAAAAAAAAAAAAAAAAAAAAAAGGATTTATAGGGTGTACAACTTAATTACTGCCTAAGGCAGAAACCAGGAAGCAACTGAAGATAAAACAAAAAAAAAAAATAAGTTTAAAACAAGTAAATATAATATACCTTCCTATTTACTAATGCTAGCAGCTTAAGAATTAAAAATAGTTCATGTTAATTGAGAGTTTTTTTTCCCCATGTGAAGTTGTGTTGCGATAATGAAGGTGTTAAGAAAACCTGAGGGTTTTTTTTTTGTATTTTTAGTATACTAAGAGTGCCTAGTATCTTGCTCAAGAAAAAGCGAGTAAGGTGCCTCTAAGTGCAGTATTGACAATTTATTTAGTAAACAATGGATCAATTAGATCCAGGTTGATCCAATTACCACATGATGAGTCTTTTTAACGTTTATCTTGTAAGTGCAAATTTTCCATTGTTTACTAAATAAATTATCAATACTGCACCTTCCTCTCTTTTTCTTGTTACTGCATTAGAGCCTTGCTTCCACTCTAAGATCTGCCTCAGTGTTACTGCTCCCATCCATCCATCCCTGATATCCATCTGGCACCTTTACCTTACAGCTACAGAGGTTGGGCTCCAACAAGCGCGCCCTACATAATATACATTTTCTAGGATCTTGCTCACACTACTTCTAACTAAAGACTGTAGAAGGAAAAGCAGTATTAATGTTTTACTTATCAGAAGCCATTCCTAGGTAAACCCCTTTTTTAGAGGACATACTCCCCTTTTCTGTATATTGAAGTGCTTAGCAGTACATTTTTCACATAACAAACCTTGACATGAATCAAATACACCGAGTAGATTTAACAAAATGTTCAAGTGATAAAACAGAACCAAACATCTTACACAAACTTTACCTTTAGTGTGATAGATAATAGCAGCCCTCAGGTCAAAAGAACCCCAGCTATCTTTGCAATCAAGATCTCCGTGGTACCTCTTATCTTTGGCGGAGGTCTGTAAAGTGTTTTTCAGGGAGGTCTGAAGAGTTACTTCTATTTCCAAGACCTTGGACTGAAACACTAATGAACCCTGGCTAGCAGCTTCTGGCTTTTGCAGCTCTCCTAAATGTTGTGGTTCTAAAGATAACACAGTCCCATCTCCCCCTGACCCATGAGCTGCTTTCAGCGTGGCACCATCCAGAACTTGAGGGCTAGTCCGTTTCTCCAGCTCATAGGCCTTGGGGAAAACTGGGCGCTCATTTCCTGAGGAAACTATTTCAGCCCCCTGTGAAACCTGTGGGGTAGGGTGCTCCCAGATCATAGCCCCAACCTCTGTTTTGTCTGTTCCAGCCTCAGGGCCAGCACTAGGTTCATTTATAAAAGACAAGCCCCACTGATTCTGGAAAATTTCTCCCAAGCTATGTTTATTTGACTGTCCAGACGATTCTCCCTGCACCACCTCAGGCAGGGCATGTTGCATATTTGAAGAAAACGTAAAAAGGCCAGACTTCTTTTGTTCAGGGGGATTTGAAGAGGCAGGAGAGGATTCTGTAGACGAAGGCTCTGCTCCCCCAGGCAGTGTGTGTGATACAGTACTAGCAGCAGCAGCAGCCATAAAACCCCCATCAGCTCCTACTAAAAGGGGCCCATTGGCAAAGTTAACTGTAGATACAGACTTCATGGCAGACATGGGAACCTGGGACACACAGTTCGAAGCTGGAGTTTCCCCAGCTTGAGAAGAGAATGGAAGGGAAGAGGGTAACACAGAGTTGTTCAGGGCTGCTTTGTTGAGGTTTTCTTTAACTTTGCTTGCATAACTTATTTTGGGAACTATTTTAGCACTACTATTGTCAACAGGAAAAACAGGAGGTGGTTTAAACAGTGTCCAGGAGTCCTCTTTAGAAGTGACTGGAGAAGCCTTCCCTTTGGGCCGGTCATCAAACTTTTTTCCAGCAATAGGTTTGGCATCTGAGTTTTTCCTCTGTATATCACCAGAGTTTGGTTTTCCCCGACCGGTGCCTGTAGATCCAGACTCACATTTCCAAGAGGCTTTACCATTGTCCAGTCGAGCTCCTCCCTTCTGCTCTGCAAAACCATCAGATTTTATGTTGTCAGAATCCAGCCTAATTTCAGGGTCTGACATTTTGCCAGTCAGAAGGTTGGAGTTCTCAGCAGGCTTCGCATTGGTACACTTAGCTTTCCTTTTTTTGGGTGTGGCATATCCACTCTCAGACCCACTGCCATCATTCTCTGCACCTTTGCTCACATAGCCATTAGTTATAAAACCAGAGTTATTTGAAAGCAAACCATTTTGAATTAGCCCAGCCTCCACTTTTTCTGTGCATTTGATATCTTTAGGTTTGCTTTCATAAGTCTTTTCATTTTTTTTGTCCATACTGTTTTTTTGGAGCAAGGTTTTAGTCTTGTTATTTGTTTTGCCAAAATTAATAGTCTTGGCTAAGTGCCTAGAATTGGTGTTAAGGTCGGCAGTGGTCTGCTGGCTGCCGTTCGTAACCCTAGAGGCAGTCTGGTTTGCAGATTTCTCAGAACCCAGGATCCGTGTAGGATTGTGTCGGTCTCCTGTAGTACCATTTATCTCTCCATGTCCTACAAAAAGACAAAAACAAGTTATTATGCGGTATAAATGAATGTTATATACACAGTCCCCCATTAGAAAACCTCAACGGCAGGTAAAAGCTCAATGTCACTGGTGTATTTCACGCTTTGGAATTAAGCAGACTACATAAAAATAAACTAGGAGTACACCTTTAGGTGCAACTTAAGTTATTCTTACAGCTCAACCTCGGGAAAAAATTGTTTTGGAACATTTGCTATGTAAAAATAAATTGCCTGTAATATGCGTGTCATGTGTGGAGGCAACTGCGTTAAGTAAAAATCGGTTTCATTCATCCCATACATTATCGTAAGCACCGAGAACGTCTGGTGCCAATGCATACAGTTCCAGCTCTACTACATTAATGATAGTGGATTGCTCACCCTTCACAAACATCCTGCATTCTTTTCACAGGATGGAAAATGTTCTGCAAATGGATGAGGGGAGAGAAAAGGCAGATGATCACAACCTCCTCACATCCATTTACAAAATAATTTGTATTTTGTGACAATACAAGACATTTTTACATTCTGAAATGACCAAAATTTGTTTTATTCTGGAGTTAGCCTTTAACGTGCCATGAGCTTTGTGTTTGTGGGAGTGCTGGTACAATACCACCCTCATCCTAGAATGTAATTGACTGAGCACAAATGCAGCCACCCTCTAACAGGAAGTCAGATCACAGAGTATAGGGTCACAAGAGACTAAGGTAGGCTGCAATTGCTGATATCTCTTGAAAATGCTAGATCCCTGGTCATCATTCTAATGCTTTGGCTTCAATGCTGCCTGAGTCAGTCAATGACCAAGTAAACCGAAGAAATAGTGACATTTTTATGATATTCATTCATAGCATGTTCTGGGCCTCAACTCAGTCAGGCAACTAGCACGGTAAGAAGGACACCAGCAAAAAGCTGCCTCCATATCTCTCTGATGAAACATTAAAGTAGATGTTTAAAGTTGAAATAACTGCCTCAAAATGCAGCTGTACCATCAAGTATAACAGAACACCCCGGGTTTTTCAGTGCTTTGGGGTGATTCAGCATCTACATTAAGACACTTTCCTTTTTTCAAAATCTCCCACCTGTTTAATATGTTTATAATAAAACAGTTTGGATTATAATGCAGTGTCACATGCAATACTTTTAGGACATATTGTCCCATTCCAGTTTTTACACTAGTTTCTCAATTTAATTAAATTGGTTCTAATGCTATAATATTAATGAGTTTTGCAGGATTAACAATTCAGACTACATGGCAAAATGGGTCAACCTCAGCAAGACCAGTATGCAGCAAGCAGTTATAAAACACTACCTGATCATGTCACCTAAATGACTGCTCATCCTTAGCGCATGAACATTTGGTCATATTCAGGGTATATAGCAGGAAGATAAAAAAAACTGTCTGCTTGATGAAAATGTCTCTTGACAACTCAGGAAAAAGTTACAGCTTTCAATAATCATAAACATCTACCCATTATTTATTTTTATATCAGGAATGTGGGATACCTGGCACCTAGGGTTTGTGCAGTGGTATAAAAACACATCACAGAATGGTGGTTGGCAACTTCACACTGGGTTCCCAACACACTTCAGGTGGGTAGTACAAACAAATCATAATTTGGCCAATTCAGCAGAAACCAGTAAAATGTTAACTGTGGCCCTCTCCATTTGATCACTGAATTGATTTCTGTCTAAGCCACCCTGGAAAACTTTCAACAAACAGTGGCAGCAGCCTCTGGTTAGTGTATTCTGACACTGGAGAGCCACACTCCCAGAATACAATATCGCAGTGGGGAGAACTACCTCCATCTACCTCATTTTTGTGGATGGTGGAATCCGTTATTTTCATTAAGTCGGCCAGCTAAACAAAACAAAAAAGCACCACACATGTATACCCAAGCATTATATACTATACAGCATACAGGAGAAGTAAGGGATTCTAAAGGCAGAAGTTTTTTTTTTTATCTTGCTATCGGCGCACTCTATTTTATACTTTGTAGCTTGCTATGGGGCACTCTGAAGGCTGGAAGAGCCCAAATCACAGACAGGGGACCCCAGACGAGGAGAATCATGGCTGCTCTGTGCAAAACCATCACGGAGGAGGCAAGTATGACAAGTTTATTTAAAACAAAAACATTTACAAATCGCTTTAAGGGCTCTGTGCAGGAAAGATCAGCTTCTGAACCCAGAGAAGCTGGAGGCTGATAGGAGGTAGTATAAGGCATTACAATTAAACTTAATTTACATTTTTTTCCATTATTACTTTCACTGTCTCGCAATACAATTAGCCCCTAATAGTGATTTTCTGTTTTTGTACTATAGAGGGCTATTTTTTTGGGGGGGGTTAACCCCATCATGACAGGATGGCAGATGTTAAAAAAAAATGCATGCTACTGCTAAAATGTCTTATGCTGGTCATATACATATTGATTTTTGGATGAGAATATGTGTACAAAAATTCTTTGTACGAATGTCATTAGAAAATTTTCACTTGCATTTAACATTTCATTTAAAAAAATGAATAAATTCTGAATGAAAACCACACGCACTGTCTGAAAATTAATTTGATCAAGTAAAGTTTTCTATTTTGCGCCTTCGAATTGTTTGTCACTATGGTCAAAAAACGAACATCAAATTTGACACCACAAACTATTAGAAAATTGAATGAACATTCTTAAAATAACTTTTTTTTTTTTTCTTAAAAGCCAGCAAGCCCAGGCGGCTTATATCAAGTCTGTCTTATCTTCATTTCAGGCTGCAAAGCAACAAAATGTGATTATTTTAAATTGGGGTGATTCTTTTCTATATACACTGTACATACAAGAGCCGTTTTACCTGGCCAAAGATTTGCATTTCTGTCCATTAAATCCTGAGATTTACAAAGCACTGCCCCGCCAAGCAGAAAAGGGAACCCGATAGTTCTCTGCTGCAGTTTTACTTTCACTTTCAGGTAAGGCTAGAGGAAAGGCCTGTGCTAGGAACCATTTAAGCTTTGCTGCAAGGGTTCATGCTGAGGTGAGAGCAGTAGGATGAGTTTATTGTGCTGACAAGTCTTCTCTGTGCAAATCAGCAGGGGGTGGTGGTGAATCTGTGACCTGCTGTAGATGCAGGAGAGACCTCTGCACTGGCTATGTTGTCTGGATCTGAAGACTGGTTAAAATTTGCAATTCAGGTTAAAAGTGTGCACATATACACTCACTGGCCACTTTATTAGGTACAACTGTTCCAATTGCTTGGTATCACAAATTGCTAATCAGCCGATCACATGGCAGCAACTCAATGCATTTAGGCAAGTAAATGTGGTGCAGACTACTTTCTGAAGTTCAAACCGAGCATTAGAAGAGGGGAGAAAGGGGATTTAAGTGACTTTGAACGTGGCATGGTTGTTGGTGCCAGTCGGGTTGGTCTGCGTATTTCAAAAACTTTACAGAGAATGGTCCAAAAAAGAGATGCTTTCCAGCGAGTGGCAGTTGTGTGGACAAAAATGCCTTGTTGATGTCAGAGGACAAATGAGCAGATTGGTTGCTGTACACACACACCTAAAAAAATGTAAAGGAACACTTTGAAAACACATTAGATCTCAATTGGGAAAAATATCATGCTGGATATCTATACTGATAGGGACTAGGTAATGTGTTAGGAACGTAACAACGTCCATCATTTTGATGGAAATGAAAAATTATCAATCTACAGAGAACTATTTTGAAAGACACCCCAAAATTAAAGTGAAAAATAGAAGCAGCAGGCTATAAACCATTTAACTAAAATTTCATTGCAACAACTCATAATGGTCCTCAGTAGTTTGTATGGCCCCCAACGTGCTTGTATACATGCCTGACAAAATTTGGGCATGCACCTAATGAGATGACGGATGGTGTCCTGGGGTATTTCCTCCCCGATCTGGACCAGGGCACCACTTATCTTCTTGACAGTCTGAGGTGCAACCTGGCGGTGTCGGATAGACCAAAACAGGATATCCCAGAGGTGTTTTATTGGATTTCGGCAGGCGAAAGCGTGGGGGCCATTCAATGGTATCAATTCCTTCATCCTCCAGTAACTGCCTGCATTACTCTCACCACATGAGGCCGGGCATTGGTCGTGCACCAGGAGGAACCAAGGACCAGCTGCACCAGCGTAGGGTCTGACAATGGTCTAAGGATTTCATCCCGATACTTAATGGCAGTCAGGGTGCCAATCGTCTAGCCCAGCAATGGGCAAAACTGGCCCGCGGGGGCCGTTGGATACGGCCGGCGGACCTTTTAATCCGGCCCGCGGAGCTAGGCTCCCGCAAGGCCAGTGGTCGGCAAGCGCGGCTCTTTACAAATTTAGATGCGGCTCTCCTGTGTGCCGGGCGCCGCTCACCCTCCCATGTCCTCTCCACCTCCTTCCTTCTCGGGATGGCCGCCCCCCCTCTCGGATGGCCGCCCCCCTCCCTCCTCTCGGACGTCAGGACTCTGCAGCTGTCAGGATGTAGGGGGGAGCCAGGATGTAGGCGGGGCAGCGGTGGCGACGTACCTCTCTCACAGTCCTCCCTGAAGACCAGAAAGGCGCGGGGAATACTGGAGAGAGAGAACGCGCGGGCCAAAGGTAAGTGAATTGACACAGTGGGGGGGACTTACTATATGGGGGATGAATTACTATATGGGGGACTTACTATATGGGGGATGAATTACTATGTGGGGGTTCCTTTACTATATGGGGGATGAATTACTATATGGGGGACTCTCACTATATGGGGGCCTTACTAATGGGGGATGATTTACTTATATGGAGGACTTCTAT